CCGGCACCCCCTCCTGGAAAGCACAGCCGGGGTGGGGGGGGCACGGCTGGGGGGTCCCCACCGAACCCACTCTCTGCTGGCAAAGGGTGCCCTTTCGGTGCCACCCTGCCCGGCACCCACCCGGGGTGGCGTGTCGCGGGGGAGTGGCGGGTCCCCGGGGGATGGCAGGTCCCCAGGGGGTGACAGGCTGTAAATAGGGCGGGGGGCGGCGGGAGCCCCCCCCCAGCGGCCATGCATGCGGCCGCCCGCGGGCTGTACCCCGCGGCCCCAATAAACACCCGGTTACCGGAGGCGTCTCCCCCGCCGCCTCCTCGGCACCTTCTTAACCCCCCCGGGAGCCGGGACCGGCCGGGGGAGGGGGGCACAGGGCTGGGGGTTCAGGGGGTGACACCCCGTCCGTGGGCACAGCCCGGAGCACAGACCCCCGCCCCCCCGCACGCCGCCCCCTGGCCCGGCCCCACGGGGTCCCCATCCCACTTTCCCCACGAATACCCCGGGATACGGCAGTGCCGGCACCGTGTTCCTGCCGTGCCACACCCGCCGGCTCCCCTCCCTGTCCCCTTTCCCGGCCACCTCGTGCCCCACGAGCCACCCTCGGGGGTCACCCACGGCCCCCTGGCCCCCGTCAGGCATCGCTGTCCCCTGAGGGGCTCTGGGGACACCTGGGGTGGGGACACCTGATGGGGACACGGCCTTGGCTCCCTCGGGGTTGGGGACGCCGGTCACCGGGTCCCTCGGGTTGGGGACACCGGGGCTGGCGGCCATCAATGGTTGGTTCCCCTGGGATGGGGACACTTGGAGAGGGCGGGGACCGCTGCCGTGGTGTCCCCTGAGGTGGGAGCAAGTGGCAAGGGGACAACGGGGCTGGAGACACCGGGGAGGGATAACGGGGTTGGGGACACCGGGAGCGGGGGGGGAGCACCGGGGACACGCGAGGGGCGGCCGGGCTGTCCCCGGAGCCCCGCCCAGGCCCCGCCCGCCTTTCCTCATTAGCGGAGACCCGGCCCCGCCCCTCCTCTGATTGGCTCCCGCCGGCCGCGGGTCCGCGCTGGGCGGGGCCCGGGGTCGCGATCTGGCCCGGGGGTCGCGACAGAATCCCACCCCCACCCCCGTGAGTACCGTGCTCGGGGCTGGGCGGGAGCGGGAGGGCGGGCAATGGGGCCGGGGCCGGCCCGGGGGGCTCCAGAAAGGCTCCGGGTGGTCCCCGGGAGCCTCCGGGGGGTCCGGGGGAGGTCGGGGGTCCCGAGGTCCCCGGAACACTACAGGGACACCAGAGGGACACTCCCAGAAGCTCAAAGGAGCCAACCCAGAGTCCCAGGGGGATCTGTCCCCCCCAGGGACCTCCCTGAAGCCCCCCCGAGTCCCCCCAGAACGCGTCCCCCGGAGAGCACAGGGTCAGGCCGGGGGTGCCACCGGGGACCCCAAAGGGCAGAGGGGCTACCGGGGGCCAGGAGGGGCTACCGTGGCCAGGGGGGGCTGCCGGGGGCCAGGGTGGGCTGCCGGGGCTGGGGGGGGCTGCCGGGGCCGGGGTCTCGGCTCGGCTCCCTGCGGGGGTTCGGGGGCTGCCCCGGCCCAGGCGATGGTGCCGGGCTGCACGTCCCCAGCTCAGGATTGCGACACACAGATCCAGTCTGGCTTGTGCTGAATCACCCAAAAAAACCCCTCCCTGGCCCCAAAAGGGGGGTGTGGGGATCCCGGAGGGGACAGGGGGGTCCAAGAGGGGTTGAGGGGAGCCAGTCCCCCCGTTTCCTAGCAGGGGAGAAGGCCAACCCCATCCCAAAACCCCTTTCAGACCCCTCCTAACACCCCCGTGAGCCCCTCAGAACCCGCCAGTCGCTCCCACTCGCGTCACGAGTTGGTGGCTCTCAGCCCTCAGGGAGCAGGGCTGGGGGTGCTGGGGGTCTCATTTTCCAGGGGGTCCTCACCAGTCTCACCCACCCTTGGCACCCCAAAATCTCCCTCTTCCCGCTGCAGCCACCGCTGCCATGTCGGCCGAAAACGCGGCGGTGCCGGGAGAGGCCGGGCCGGAGACGAAGGTAGGGGTGGGTGCACGGAGGGTTCGGGGGGGCTGCGGGGGGCTCTGGGGACCCCGTCTCACTGTCCCCCACCCTCAGAGCGTGGTGAGCCGCGTGGCCAACCTGGCCCTGGTGAGCTGTGCCTGCGGGGCCGTGGCCTCGGCGTACGGGCGCACCAAGGAGAGCCACCCCTGCGTGCGCTCCGTCTGCGACGCCGCCGAGAGAGGGGTGAGGACCCTGACGGCAGCAGCAGCGAGCGGGGCCCAGCCCCTCCTCACCCGGCTGGAGCCCCAGAGTGAGTGCGGGGCGGGAACAGCACCCCATGGGGATGGGGGACCCCAAGACCGGCTCTCCCCGAGCTCTGGTGAGGCGGCAGGAGAGGAATGATCTGGTTTCACATCTCCGGTTTGTAGCAGCAATGAGTGAAGGGCTGGAGAAGCTGGAGGGTTAGAGGGGAAACACCCCACAAGTTCTGGGGTAGCAAAATCCCAGCAGAGCTCCTGCAGGGCAGCAGGGTGCTAAACTCACCTCTTTTCACATCTCCAGTTTCCACCGCCAACAAACTGGCCTGCAAAGGGCTGGACAAGCTGGAGGAGAAGCTGCCGATCCTGCAGCAGCCCCCCGAGAGGGTAACGTCACCCGGGGGGCGCGGGCAGGGCTCCAGCGCCGAGCGAGGAGCGGGCACAAGCTGTCCCTGCGCTGTCCCCTCCCAGGTGGTGGCCGGGACCAGGGAGTTGGTGTCGGGCACGGTGAGCGGGGCGGTGGCGAGGACGCGCTCGGCGCTCGGGGCCGTGGTGGGCACCCGCGTGGGGCGGCTGCTGGCCACGGGCGTGGGCGCCGTGCTGGGCAAATCGGAGGAGCTGCTGGATCGGCACCGCCCCGGGACGGACGGGGAGCTGGGTGAGTGCCCACCATCCCGCAGATCCCGGGGTGCCGAGCCCTCCTGAGACCCTCACCCTGTCCCTCAGGGCTGCCTTGTCATTCCCTGCTCACGGTGGCCCCACAGTGGTGCCGGAGCACTGAGGCCACCGTGACCCCACGCAGGGGACAGTCCCCACCTGGAGGACACGGGATGGCGCTGGGTGAACTCTCACCTGGAAACCCAACAGCAAATATAGTCCCGTGTGCCCGCCCGGGTATTTATAGCCTGGCACTGGGTGACATTAGGCAAAGCTGGCCCCATGTCACAGCTGAGGTGACCGCAGAGGCCACCTGGTGGCATCTCCGCATGACCTGGTGGCCAAGCATCCTGTGGGTGCTCACGCTGAGCTCCAGTGGCCAGCAGAGGATGGCCCAGCCACGCTGCCCTCACCCCTGGTCCCACAGCGGCTGCAGCAGGCACGGAGGTGAGCACAGGCACGGAGGTGACCACGGGCACGGAGGTGACCACGGGCACGGAGGTGAGCACAGGCACGGAGGTGACCACGGGCACGGAGGTGACCACAGGCACGGAGGTGACCACAGGCACAGAGGTGGCCGCGCAGGAGCAGCAGAGGCGGTGGCAGAGCTACTTTGTCCGCGTGGGCTCCCTGTCGGCCAGGCTGCCGCACCGGGCCCTGCGGCGCTCGCTGGGGGAGCTGCAGCGGGCACGGCTCCGCGCCCAGCGGCTCCTGGCCCAGCTCCACCACGTCATCTGGCTGGTAAGGATGGGGCAGGGACCGTGCCAGCCCCGTGTCAGCCCCAGGCACCCCCGGGCACCCCCGGGTGTGCTCCCACCTGCCTGAACCTCCCCCCAGATCGAGGAGGGGCAGCGGGGCACGGACGGGCCCTGGCACAACACCCGGGAGCTCCTGCACCGCCTGTGGCTGGAGTGGAGCCAGCAGGACGCGGTGCCCATGGAGGACAGCGAGGTACAGGGGGGCCCTGGGGGACAGATGGCTCCGCCTGGAGAGGATGGGGACACGTGGCAAGGGGACACCTGGAGTCCCGGTGTGGGTCCATGCAGGCGGGGTTGGGGTCTGTGGGGGTTGGGGTCCATCGGGGTTGGGGTCCATCGGGGTTGGGGTCCATCGCCCCCAGCCCCGCTGCCCACCCCGCAGGTGGAGGCTCGGACGCTGGCCATGCTCCACGGGCTCCTGCACCAGCTCCACTCCGCCTGCTCCCATCTGGCCGCCGGCGCCCGGGCATTCCCCAGCAGCGTGCAGGAGACGGCGGGACACGTCCGGCACGGCGTGGAGGGCGTCCAGGCTTCCCTGGCCAGCGCCCGCTCCTTCCAGGACCTGTCGGGGCTGGTGCTGGCGCAGAGCCGGGACGCGGTGACGCGGGCACAGCTGAGCCTCGAGGGGCTGCTGGAGCACGTAGGGCAGCACACGCCGCTGCCCTGGCTCGTGGGACCTTTCGCCCCCGCGCTCGTGGAGTATCCGGAGGATGTCCCGGTGGATATGTCCAAGTGGGAGGGCTGTGTCACCGCGGGGGGGACGCAGCGGGTGCCCGCTGCCCCCCAGCTCTGCAGCCAGCACTGAGTCACCGGTGCCACTGAGCTGGGGGAGCGCCCACCGGAGCCACGAACCACACCGGGGATGAGGGACCTGGTGACCCGGCGTGGGACCCCGGTGCCACGGCCGGGGACTCCTGTGGCGATGGTGGCACGGGGAGGACGCGGTGTGGGTCTGTCTGGGATCCAGGGCTGCCCTAAGCCCCAGGAGCGCTGGGATTTCATGTCTTAACAGCTTCAAACCAGTTTAAAGAGGAAGAAAACAAGTTTTTTTGCCTTAAAATGACTCAGAGCCTGCAGTGGTGTGGCAGAGCCACCGTGCCGGGCTCACCGGGGGGCTCTGCACGGGCGGCAGAGCCGGGGGCGCCCCCGAGGGGGGCTCAGTAAGGGGGTGCTGGGGGGGGACAGGATTCCGTGGGGTGCCGGGAGGGAGGGTGCCACAAGGTGCCAGGACGCCTGGACTGTGACCCGCAGCCGTGTGGCACTGAACTTTGCCCCAGTTGTCACCGTCGGGCCCCGGGGTGTCCCCGACGTCACAAGCACAGCGTGGTGACAGCAGCCGGTGGGGTGACACCGGGGACCCCGGCACTGACCATCCTCCCACCGCCAGAACCCACTGGGACCGGTTCGACCAACTGCACCGGGCCAGGTGTGGGGGCGCACCGGGACCCCCGAGCTCGGGACCCCCACGAGGGGCGGGGACGCTTGGGGGGGGGGTCGGGGCAGCTCAGTCCCGGGCGATCCGGTACCGGGGAGGGGGGGATCAGTGCAGCACCGACCGAGGAATGGGATCCCGGGGGCTCCGGTGTTGGGCGGGGGGGTTCGGTTCCCGGGGGTTCATTGCCCTGCCGGGCCCGGAGGTTCGGTTCTGTGCCGGGCCCGGAGGTTCGCTGCCCCCCGGGCCCCCGCCCCCGCCGGTCGCTGCTCCCGGTGCGCCCCGGGCCGGCCCCGCTGGGCGGCTCCGGTCACATGCGCTCGGGGCGGGCTCCGGGGTATAAAGGGCGGCGGGGAGGAGCGGGGCGAGCCCGGAGCCGAACCGAGCGGAGCCGAACCGAGCCCAGCCGCACCGAGCCCAGCCGCCAGCGGTGAGCACGATCCGGGGCCGGTCCGCATCCTGGTTCCGATCCCGATTGCGATCCCGGTTCCGGTTCCGATCGCGATTGCGATCCCGGTTCCGGTTCCGATCCCGATTGCGATCCTGGTCCCGATCGCGATCCCGGTCCCAATCCCGCCTGTGATCCCGATCGCGATCCCGGTCCCAGGGACCCCTCCCCGCCCCGTCCCGGGATTTTCCAGCCGCGTGGGAGCTGCCCCGTTCCGGGGAGGGGGAACTTGGGGTGCTCCCCTCGGGAGGGGGGCGCTGGGGGCCTGACCCCACTCACGGTCCCGTCCTGTGCCCCCCAGCCCCACCATGGCCACCAGCGAGCCCACGCCGGCGCAGTCCAAGGCAGAGGAGCAACAGGTCAGTGCGGGCAAGGGGGGGAATCTGGGGGCGATCCACGGGGTCCCTGCTTGGAGACCGGGATCGGGATTGTCCCACCTTCCGATGGGTTTGGAGAGCCATGGGAGAGCCCCAAAACCATTCCCGGGATGTTTGGAACACCCAGACCCCTCGTGAGGTTTGGGGGGGGTTCCTCCCCACCACGCTCACCCTGAGCCCTTCTGGCCCCCAGAGCATCGGGACACGCGTGGCCAACCTGCCCCTGGTGAGCTCTGCCTACGACATGGTGTCCTCTGCCTACACCTGCACCAAGGAGAGCCACCCCTGCGTGCGCTCCGTCTGCGACGCCGCCGAGAGAGGGGTGAGGACCCTGACGGCAGCAGCAGCGAGCGGGGCCCAGCCCCTCCTCACCCGGCTGGAGCCCCAGAGTGAGTGCGGGGCGGGGGGGACCCCAAAAGCTGTCCCCAGCAGAGCTCCTGCAGGGCAGCAGGGTGCTGAACACACCTCTTTTCACATCTCCAGTTTCCAGCGCCAATGAATTGGCCTGCAAGGGGCTGGACAAGCTGGAGGAGAAGCTGCCGATCCTGCAGCAATCCCCCCAGCAGGTACCGGGTGGGGTGGGGTGGGGTGGGGTGGGGTGGGGTGGGGTGGGCAGCACACTCGGGGCCCCCCCAGTGCTTAACAGAGGTTTGTGTGTCCACCCAGATCATCTCGGACACCAAACTGCTGGTGACCTCCACGGTGACGGGGGCCAGGGATGTGCTGACCAGCACCGTGGCCGGGGCCAAGGACGCAGTGTCCAGCACTGTGGCTGGGGCTAAGGATGCAGTGACCAGCCGAGTGACCGAGGCCAAGGACGCAGTGTCCAGCACCGTGGCCGGGGCCAGGGATGCAGTGACCAGCACCATGGCAGGGGCCAAGGATGCAGTGACCAGCCGAGTGACCGGTGTGATGGACATGACCAAAGGGGCCGTGCAGGGCGGTGTGGAGCTGACCAAGTCCGCGGTCAGCAGCGGTGTCAGCACCGTGGGCCAGATGGTGGCCAGCGGGGTGGGCTCCGTGCTGGGCAAGTCGGAGGAGCTGGTGGACCATTACCTGCCCATGACAGATGAGGAGCTGGGTGAGCAGCTGATCCCAACCTCCAGCGAGGCTGGGCAGAGCTGGGGAGGCTTTCTGGGGGGTGTTGGTGGTGCTGGGACCCCCTGAACAGCTCCTGTCCCACAGCCAAGCTGGCCACAGCCGTGGAGGGCTTCGAGCCGGAGCAGCAGAGGCAGCAGCAGAGCTACTTCGTGCGCCTGGGCTCCCTCTCCACCAAGCTGCGGCACCGAGCGCTCCAGCACTCCCTGGGCAAACTGCAGAGCGCTCGCCAGAGCAGCCAGGACCTGCTGGCCCAGCTCCAGCGCACCCTCGACCTGGTAGGACCCGGCCCCGCGCCCCCTGTGCCACCCTGGGGTGTCCCCTGGCAGCCCCCCAACCCAGCCGGGCCGTGCCCCTCTCGCAGGTGGAGCACCTGAGGCAGGACGTGGACCAGAGGCTGCAGGGAGGGCAGGAGAAGCTGCAGCAGCTGTGGCTGGAGTGGAACAAGAAGCAGCCGGGCGGTGGCAAGGACCAGGCGCCACCGGAGGTAGGAGCAGGGCAGGGGGTCCCCAGGGTGAGCCGGGGTGTCCCCAGCCCTCACCCCCCGTGTCCCCCCGCAGGCGGTGGAGTCGGGCACGCTGACCATGCTGCAGGGCTTGAGCCAGCAGCTGCAGAGCTCCTGCCAGCCCTTGGTGTCCAGCCTGCAGGGGCTCCCCACCAGCATCCAGGACACGGCGGGGCAGGTCCGGCACAACGTGGAGGAGCTGCGGGCGGCGCTGGCCTCTGTCACCTCCCTGCAGGACGTGACGGGGCCCGTGCTGGCCCGAGCCCGCAGCCACGCCACCAAAGCCCGGCAGCTGATGGACGAGCTGGTGGAGCACGTGGCCTTCAACACCCCCCTGACGTGGCTGGTGGGACCCTTCGCCCCCTCGGGCAAGCGCGCGGTGGAGCTGGAGATGGAGTAGCAGCTCTGGGCTGCTTCCCCCCAAAAACGCCTCGTTAGGAGCCTTAAACACCCCCAGCCCCCCTCGCCCCCCACCCTGTGCCTGCCCCAGCTCTGTCCCTTGTCCCCTTGCTGGGGACTGCAGAAGTGCCTTGGCTGCCCCAAGTGCCTGTTGGGGGTCCCCCATGTCCTCGGTGCCTTGTAGGCTTAAAATGGCACAAGAAATAAACTCTGGTTAGTTTTGCACTGGCCTGGGGCTTCTTTGGGGGCGTGGGGAGGAGGAATTGGGCTCTGGAGGAGCAAACCCCAAGACCTGGGGACCCCCCTGTCCTGAGCCCCCCTTCCCCCAGGCAGCCCCCCCAGCCTGTCCCTGCCCCCGGGAGGGGAGGACCTGGCGGTGGGATCAGAGCGGGGTCCTGGACGGAGCCTCCCACTTCCCCGCAGTTGGGCAAGAGGCACTCGGGAAGTTTTGGGCTTTATTTGGGTCTTGTTTAGGGAGGAGAGTGAAAGCAGTCCCGGAACAAGGAGCGAAGTGTCCCCAGGGCAGAGTTACTGCAGCCTGCAGGGGGGTCGGGGGTCGGGGCACAAAGAGGAGGCGGCGCCGGGTGGAGCCGGGAATTCTTTATTGGACACGGACAAAAGAGCAGAGACCGACACGGAGCTGCTGCCCAGCACGGGCAGGATGCTGCCAGGGTCAGTCCCCCCCCCGGCACACTTAGCACAGAACACACCCTTTGTACCCTGGTTTCACCCCAAAAAGTTGGTGCCCAGCCCTGCTGCCACCCCTGGGGCCGAGGGATCTGGCTCCGGCAGCTGCCTCGGGATGGAGAGAGGATCATGATGGTGAGGGAAGGGGCTTGGAGCAGCTCCTGAGTGCCTGACCCTGGTCAGAGGGAAACTGGGGAGCCATGGGGTGCTTTCCAGCCCTGACCCTCGTCCCAGCCAGAGATGCCTCAAGAAAGAGACACTGGGGTTCCTTCTGTTTTTCATTAGAAAACCCTTTATATTCATTTCATGTCGGTTGAAATCACAAGAAATTAGGTAGGAGGGGAAAAAAAAAAAAACCAGAACAGAAAATTAAAAACAAGGGTAAGGGACAAATACAGACACCAGCACAGCCCCCCCGCGGGTGCTGCCTCCGCAGGGACGGGACACGGGACAAGACCAAGGACATCGGCTACGGTGGGACTTAATGAAGTGACTCAGGCAGGGGACGAGGCAGAGGCTGCTCTCCCTTCACAGCCTCTCCTCCTCCTCCAGGTGGGAGCTGCTTCCTCAGCTCTCCTCCTCCTCCTCCTCCTCCTCCTCCTCGTCCGCAGCCTCCGACTCCCCGCGAGCTCGCTCCAGCCCGGCCTTGGGATAGTCCTGGACACTGCTGGGGGAGAGCAGGGGCAGGGACAGCTCAGGCCCTGCCTCTCTGCCACGTCCCAGCTCCTTCCCAAGCTGGGAGAACCCTCTCACAACCCACAGGATGTCCCCAAATCATCCCTGCCGAGCCCAGCGACCTTAGCCCTGCCCCTCACACTCACTTGTTGTGGGGCTCCTCTGTGGATGCCTCCAGCTCCCCAGCTCCTGGCCCTTGGCTCTTGTCCTTCTCCTCTGTGCCCTCTGACTTTTGGGATTCACCATTCACAGGACCTGACAGGTCTGGAGGGAAGAGAGAGAGGCTCAGGCTCTCGGATCCCCTCGCCCATCCCAACCCTCGTGGCTGAGGATCCATGGCCACAGGTTGTCCCTGGACATGCAGCCGAGCCTGAGGGGACCCCAGGACCGGCCTGATCCCCACAGCTACAAGAAGGTCCCCAAAACCTCCATCCCCCAGCCCAGAGGCACCGTCAGGGTGGATTTTCCCCGTCAGTTCCTCAGGGAAGGCTCTTGCAGCACCACCAGGACAGCCCCAGGCAGAGACCCGGCTCTGAGGGTGGAAGGTCCCAGTCACCAGTGCCTGTGCAAGAGCCTGAGCCAGTGTCCAAGGACATCTCCACATTCCTTCATGGCTGGAGCAGAGCTCAGCCTGGCAGGGAGGAGCTGCTCCTGGGCCAAAAAGCAGCGTGGGGGCCCCCGGAGCCCGGGAGTGGGGCTGGAGGTTTGCCCTGTGCCCTCAGTGCATTCCCCATCCCGCCCTTCCCTGCTCCTGGCACTGGCCTGGAGGTGCCGATCCCCCCACCCCGGGCCAAAGCCACCTCCCCATGTCCCTGTCCCCAGCAGGACGGGCCACGCCCCAGGGAGGAGACTGTGACCTGCCCACACAGGGCAGGGAATGTTCAGGATGCTCAGGGATGTTACCAGCATTTGTCTCCTCTTCCCCCTTCTCATTCCGTGTCTCCGCTCCCGACAGCTTCTCCTGGCCCTTCTCCGCCTCCCCCTTGTCCTTCTCGGGCCCGGCTTTGTTGCCTTTCTGGATGGATTCCATCTTTGGGCCCAGCACACGCGACTTCAAGCGGGTGTAGACTTCAGCTGCTTTCTCCATCACGTCCTTGTTGGCTTTGTAGCGACGGATCTGCCCCGGGGAGCGGGAGGAAGGGACCCCCTTAGAGCCCCTGAGGGCTGGGACAGGCTCCCCACTCGCCCCAGGAGGGCTCAGCCCTCTGCTCTACCTTCTTGAGCGTGGCCACCACGTCTGTGTGCTTCTGGAGGATGTGGGAAGTGACCTGGAGCGTGCCCAGCTCCTCGAGCGCGTTCAGACAGCGCTTGATGTCCTGCACGGATGGCACCGGGATCAGGAGCTGCCCTGGGGACACCTGGGGCCTCCCAGCACCCCCAGAGGGAGGAGAAGGAGCCTCCCGGGTATCACAGCCAGGCAAGGCCCAGCAGGGATGTCCCAGGCCAGGCACTCACCGGGTTATCAACCTTCAGCGCAAACTTGATCTCGCTGTGAAGTTTCTGGAGTTTCTCTTCCACTGTGGGCTCTGGAGCAGAGACACAGGCAGAGGTGTCAGGGCACACAGAGCTCAGGATCCGCTCTGGGGCCTGGAATCACTCCCAGGCAGGGGTTTGTGTCCTCCTGCACTTCCAAAGTTCAGCACGGCCCCAGGAATGTCTCTGGGACATGTCTCAGGGGCTGGGGTGTGCCAAGATCGGGAGGGGACGGCAGGGAAGTGATCCTGGGATCACAGCAGTGCTGGGAAAAACCCTGGCACAAACTCACTGATCCCTCCCTGTCCCAGGGATGGGGGAACCAACCCTGGAGCCCTCCCCTCCCTCTCCTCCCCTCTGTGATGGGAAGCAGTGACTCTCTCACCCTTTTTCTTCTCCATCCTCCTTTCGGGGATCGGGTCGGATTTCTTCCGGCCTCGTTCCACTTTCAGAGGTCTGTGGGAAGGGAAGGAAAAAGGGAAGGTGGTTGTGGTGAACGCCCTGCTCACCACTGGGCTAACAAGGGGATGGCACTGCCTGCAGCACCCGAGACCCCTCCACCCTGATCACAGCTCCCCTGTGCCCCAGCTTCCCAGGAATGCAGACAGGAAAAGCCCCACGAGAAAGAAAACACCACAGAACCTCATCCTGGAAACCCCCAAGAGCTCCTGCAGCCCCTTCAGCTCGGCAGGAGGGGAGGAACAAGCCCAGCCCCTGTGCAGGAGCAGCAGCCCCACGAGCCCCATCCCCACCCCGCGGTGCTGGGGCCGTGCAGGAACAGCCCCGTTCCCAGGAGGAAAGGGGAGGGAGATGTGGAGATGCTGACTTGTTCCGTGGCTTCTCCTCTGCTCGGCCCCTCTTCTCCTTCTGATTTGGTTTCCTTGACAACTCCGAGGGCTGCTTCTTCACCGGCTTCTTTACCTTGGAGGAGAGAACAATGCAGGGAGAGCGGCAGAGCCCTCCTTGCTGCAGAGCCACGGCCATGCCACAACGTCCCCACAGCCACCCCACGGCCCAGGGGCACCCCAGGCACCCCACAGCAGAGCCTGTGGTCACCCCACAGCACACGGTCACCCTACAGGCTCCCAAAGGCTCCAGGGGGACAGTGGAGCAAACCCCGTGACCGTGCTGGAAGAGCACCCTGGAGATCAGGGAATGGTTTGGGTTGGAAGGGAACATAAAGCTCATCCCATCCCACCCCTGCCATGGCAGGGACACCTTCCACTGTCCCAGGCTGCTCCAAGCCCCGTCCAGCCTGGGATGGAGCAGCCACAGCTGCTCTGGGCACCTGTGCCAGATGTGAGGCCCACAGCTGGATGATGCATCCTGGGCCAGGGGAAGAGCTCCCACTCCAAGGCACGGAATTGCCATGGACACAACCCTTCCCAACACCATCTGGGCAGCTGCAGGGTAACCCAGGAGCACGAGAGCAGGTCCCTGCCACTCCTGGAGGTCCCTGATGGCCTGACAGGGAGGTGACAGGCTGTCCATCCACCCCCAGGCCCCCACAGCTCCGCACTCACCTCCTTCTCCTGCTCCAGCTCAGAGTCTGAGGAGGACGGAGCCTTGGCCCGGCCTCTCCGGCCCTTTTTGGCCGTTTCATCCTCGGCGCTGCTGTCCGAGTCCGAGTGCACCTCCTCGCCCTTCTCTGCCTTCTCCTTCCTTTTCTCCTTCTCCTCCTTCTCCTGCTCCCGGAGCCGCCGGATCTCCTCCTCCTGCTCCCTCTTCCTCTTCTCCTCCAGCTCCCGCCGCCGCTCCTCGTCCCGCCGCTTCCACTCGCTGATGCGATCCACGTCGCTGTCGCTGTCACTGCCAGGACAGGGCAGGCTCGGACCCCTGCGTGACCCCCAGCCCAAGGGTGACAGTGTCCCAGTGGCCCAGGTGAGCTCACCTGTCGCTGCTGGAGCTGCTGGGGACTCGCTCTGGCTTCGGTTTCCTGCCCCGGGGCTTGGGAGGGGGTTTCTCAGCTGCAAGACAACAGGGACATGCTCTGCGGGAGGCCTGGAGGTGCCTCTGTTGAAACAGCCCCGGCTCGTGGAGGCAGAGAGCTTCTGGAATGTGCCCACAATTCGGGATGGGAATTCCCAGAGGCTTGGGGATGCAGGAGCAGCCCCGGGGGTACCTGGCTTGCGGCCCCGTGGCGCCTTTTTCACCGACACGTCCGAGTCCGAGTCTGAGTCCGACTTGGTCATGTCCACGGTGGCATTGCCCATCTCCAGATCCGAGTCCACTTTGGAGTCGGAGTCAGAGGCAGACTCCATTTTCTGCAGGCAGAGCGGGGCTGGGATGGGAGCTGGCCGTGGGGTGGCACTGCCCCAGTCCCAGCCATCCCCCCAAAGCCAGCAGTGTCCTGCA